CTTGTTCCCTAGCTGATAGAGCAACCGTGGGACCATATGGAGCTTTTAGGAGATGGGGCCCAGCTGGTGGAAGTAGACTGCTAGAGCTGGGCCTTTGAAGGCCACAGCTAGCCCCTATTTCCTGTTACACTTCCTACTTCCTGGTCCACCGTGATGTGAATGGCCTCCTCCACACTCCCACTGCCATGAAATGCACTGTCCCACTTACCTCCCTCTCCCCAGACCAATGGACTAAAATCCTCTTAAACCATGAGCCAAAGTAAGTATTTCTTTCCATTGTTTCCATTAATCACAACAGTGCAAATGTAATTAATACCTCAGTTAAGTAAAAGACAAAAGCCTGGGTCTTCACAGCCTTGAATGCATTGCTCACCGGAACTAGACAAAAACATTGCCCAGGAAAGAGTCCATCACCTACCAGGGCAGTTCGTCCACTGCATTGTCCCCATTGTTTTGTTTGTTTTTTGAAACTGATTTTACAAAGTCAAACCGTGCAGAAATCATCTCTGACCCTAAGATGGGTGTGTTAGCTTTGATGTCACCAAGCATAGGTCAGCTGAAAGCTGCCTCCTGGAACTCCCTCTCCGTGATGTCTGATGGATCTTCCAAATGATGATCACTCTACTCTGCTCCCACACATGTCTCCCTGTGGCTTCCCTACACACACACACACACACACACACACACACACACACACACACACACACACACCCCACGTTGATCTCTGCTTGATAACGAGTGGTTCTGAGACGCCCTGCTGGCACATCAGAGGTTATGTCTCACAAATGCCTCTGTAAGGTACAGAAAGTGAGTAGTGATGTTCATGGCTTCACTGTTTGGCATGAAAAGGTCTGGACGAGTGTTTGTTTGCTGCTCTACCATTTACGGTGTGGCCTTTGTAAAATGATCTCACAACCTTGAGGCTCACGTTCACTGCATGTGTGACAAGGACAACTACCCACTCTCTCGGTGTGAGGTCAACTTTGTCACAAGGCCCTAAGTGATAGGAAGGCCCACACTGGTGTGGTCAGGTCTCAATGTGTGCCTATGGCTTTCTCTCTACCGGAAAGAAGAAAGGAATCTGATACGTACATGTTCTCTGGGCCCTTAGAAAACAGAGTTCTTCAACCACCTGGGTGTGAGTCCACAGGAAGGATGCTATTATACACATCAAGGGAAATGGTGCTGCTCAACAGGAATGCCCCATAAAAGTCACCTGGGCATAACTGGAAGAGTCTCCACCATAGAAAGACCATATGTTGCGGGCTCTACTCATTTTCATTCAATTACAGAAAGTCTTTCATTTCTTCCTTAACATCTGTCTTGACTCTTTTTCCAGTCAGTAAAGAATTGTTCACTTGCATGAGTTTGTAAGGTTTCTGTTGTTGTCGATAACTGTTTTTAACCTGTGCTGGTCAGATAGGATCCAGGGTTAGTTCTTGTTCTTGTATCTGTTGAGACTTGCTTTATGTCCGAGTATACGGTCAATTCTGGAGAAAGTTCCATGCAGAGAAGAAGGTATATTCTTTTGTGTTTGGATGAAATGTTGTGTGAATGTCTGTTAGATCCATTTGATTGTCAATGTTGGTTAGCTCCAGCATTTCTCTGTTTAGTTTTTGTTTGGATGATCAGTCTATCTAAGAGTGGGTTCTCCCACTATTGGCGTGTAAGGGTCGATATGTGACTTAAGCTGTAATAGTGTTTCTCTTACAAACTTGGGTGCCTTGTGTTTGGTGCATGGATGTTAAGAATTGGTGTGTTGCTGGGCAGTGGTGGTGGTGGCAGTGGCGCACGCCTTTAATCCCAGCACTTGGGAGGCAGAGGCAGGTGGATCTCTATGAGTTCAAGGCCAGCCTGGGCTACCAAGTGAGTTCCAGGAAAGGCGCAAAGCTACACAGAGAAACTCTGTCTTGAAAAACCAAAAAAAAAAAAAAAAAGAATTGGTGTGTCATCTTGGTGGAGTTTTCCTTTGATGAATGTGTAGTGTCCTTCCCTATCTCTTCTGATTGGCTTTGGTTTGAAGTCTATTTTGTCTAATAGTAAAATGGCCACATAAGCTTGTTCCTTAGGTCCATTTGTTTGGAATATTTTTTCCATCCTTTTACCTTGAGGTAAAACATCTATACTGTACTATATTATATTATATTATATTATATTATATTATATTATATTATATTATATTATATTATATTATACTAAATATCATGCTATAGTATGACATCTGTACTTGATGTTAAGGTTTGTTTCTTGTATGCAGCGGAAGATGTGTCCTATTTTTGTGTCCATTCTGTTAGTCTGTGTCTTTTTATTGAGGAATTGAGACTATTGATGTTGAGAGATATCAGTGAACATTGTTGGTTCATTTCTATTATTTTGTTGGCAGTGTTGGTGTGTGTGTGTGTGTGTGTGTGTGTTTCTCCTCTTTTGAATTGCTGGTCTGGGATTATTTGTTCTTCATATTTTCTCGAGTGCTATTAACCTCTTTAGGTTGGAGTTTTCCTTCTAGCACCTTCTATAGGGTTAGGTTTGTAGATAGATGTTGCTTAAATTTGGCTTTATCATGGAATATCTTATTTTCTCCATTTATTGTGATTGAAAGTTTTGATGAGTATAGTAGTCTGAGCTGACATCTGTGGTCTCTTAGAGTCTGTAGAACATCTGTCTAGGTCCTTCTGGCTTGTAGAGTCTCCATTGAGAAGACGGGTGTAATTCTCATAGGTCTGCCTTTATATGTTATTGGTCTTTCTCCCTTGCATATTTTAATATTTTCTTCATTCTATATGTCCAGTGTTTTGATTATTGTGTGCTGAGGGGAATTTCTTTTCTGGTCCAGTTTATTTGATGTTCTGTGTACTTCTTATACCTTGATAGGCATCTCCTTCTTTAGGTTAGGAAAACTTTCATCTGTAACTTTGTTGAAAATATTTTCTGTGACTTTGACTTGGGTTTCTTCTCCTTCCCATATTCCCATTATTCTTAGATTTAGTCTTTTCGTAGTATCCCATATTTCCTGGGTATTTTGTGACAGGATTTTTTTAGATTTAACATTGTCTTTGACCGAGGTGTCCATTTCTTCTATCACATCTTCAAGGCCTGAAATTCTCTCTTCCATCTCTTCTTGTACTCTGTTGGTGAGGCTTCCCTCTGAGGCTCTTGTTCATGTTCCTACATTTTTCATTTCCAGATTTCCCTCGGTTTGGGTTTTCTTTACACTATTTCCACTTTCAGATCTTGAACTATTTTATTCGTTCCCTTCCACTGTTTGTGTTTTCATCGATTTCTTTGAGGGATTTATTCATTTCCTCTTTAAGGACCTCTATCGTGTTCATGAAGACTATTTTAAGGTCTCTGTCTTGACTTCAGCTGTGTTGCAATTCTCGGGGGCCTGCTGTGGTGGGGTTGTTGGGTTCTGGTGGAGACATGTTGTCCTAGCTGCTATTCTTTGTGTTTTCACACTGGTGTATAGGCATCTAGGTTTGGGAAGATTGTAATTCTAAGTGCTGACATCTAGTCTTGTCTTTGTTGGGTGGGTGCTTGGTTTCTGTTGCCCCGTCTGGTTCTTAGAAGAGTGTGGTGGCTATGTGTTGCCTGGTAAGACATTCCTCTGGGATCCTGATCAGTGTGGCCATTGGGGATTCCAGGTAAACCATTTTCTAGGTATTGGGAACTGACACTTATGACTAGGGATGGGCTGGGGATGGGGGTGGGATAAGGTCCACAGGAAGGAAGAAAGCAGGGCGTTCTACCAGGATTTGCTTAGTTCCCTGGGAATGGGGACAGAGAGTGAGGAGAGGTCACAGCAGGTAGTCTGCTACAGAGCTGGGGTTGGGACCGAGGGATTGGATATGAAGGAGAGGAGGGGAGTGAAGATCTGAAGCTCACCTACCTGCTTAGCTGACCTGGATGCTTCTCCGACAGGCTTGGCCAGTGGGCTCCCAGGGAATGCCCGCTGGAGCTGGTGGCTGGGATAACAGGATGATAGAGGAGGTAGGTTGGAGGAGATCCGTGTGATCAGCTGGAGATGGGGGCACAGCACGGGGGTGGGGGAGGGTTGGTGCACAGAAGCAGGTCTGAACAGAGATGGGGTGAAACTATGGAATCAGATTTGGAGGAGAGAGAGGTAGAGATCTACAGCAAGGCTCCCTGCTTGCCTGGCTGGTGTGGCCTTGGGGTTCCCAGGGAGTGCCTGCTGGAGGTGGGGCCTGGAATAAAGCAATGACTGAGGGGAAGAACCCTGCTTTCACTGGAGATGGAGGCAGGGAGGCAGGCCAAGCTGCAGCAAGTGGTCTGCTGCAGAGCTGGGGGTACAAAGGGGCATTGAATTTGGAGGACCTGCTGCTATCCCTCCTGCTTCCCTGGCCCGAGTGGTCAAGTGGTCGGTGAGTTCCCAGGGAACGCCTGCTGGGGCTGGAGGCTGGGATGACTTGATGAGCGGGAAAGGTTGACTGAGGTTTGCGAGATCTGCCGGAAATGAGGGTCAGTGAAGAAGGGGAGACGGCAGTGGGTGTCCTGCTGCAGAGCGGGGGATAAAACTGGGGGACTGGGTTGGGAGGTGCGGAGGAGAGGTGAAGATCTACAGTTAGCCTCCCGGCTCCCCCTTTGCTCCCTCTGTTAATATATGTCTCTTCATGTACATAATGAGATGATGACTATAGTCGAACAAATCACCGTACCTATGGTTTCACAGTTGCTGTGCGCGTGCGTGCGTGCGTGCGTGCGTGCGTGCGTGCGTGCGTGCGTGCGTGCGTGTTAAAAAAGAAAAACCAAACTCTACCCTTTGAGAATATACCAGCATGCAATAGGGCATTTCTAACTCCAGTTCTCACCTTGCACCTTAGCTTTCTAGACCGGAACTGTAACTTTGTATCCTTTGCAAGCCTCTAACTTGTCACCTGTAAAATGCCAGTAATGACAGGACCTCCCTCGCAGGCTGGTTGTGAAATTAAATGAAAGAACATCTATAAAGTGCTTAAAATAGTAAACGGTAAGTCCAAAACAAATATGAGTTTTATTGCTATGCGTTCAGTGACTTTGTCCTATAAAAAAAAAAAAAAACAGTATATGGGGGGTGGGAGGAAATATGTAGGCTCCTCAGATTAAAAGGTGAAATAAAACACAGTGCTTAGCTAAGAGTTACAAATCCGTGATTTTACTTGAACCCAAGCTTAAAAATAAGTCCTGGTTATGCTTGTCATCTTCGGACCACGGATGTAGCCTGTCAGAGTGTGTTATGTTGGTTTCCTGCCACTATAACAAGAGACCAGAGGTCGAGAAATTATAAGGAGAAAAGGATTATTTTGACTAAGAGTTTCAGAGATTTCAGTGTTACGCTGAGGCCAGAGGCACGTGGCAGGAGAAATTGGTTCACTTCATGTCGCCCGTGACGGAGAGAAGAAGAGGAGGCTGGGTTCCAACAACTGCCCCAAGGGTCGTGCCCCTAACCTAACTTCCTACAGTGACACCCCACCTCCTAAAGGTCCCCCATTCTCAGTGGTGCCACAAGCAGTCAAGTCATTAGTGTGTGGGCCTTTGGGGGACATGTGAGATCCAAATCATAGCCAAAAGCCACCACCCCCTGCTTCAGCTTTCTGTGGAGTGATATTTTCTGTCTCGTTAGAGTATCTCTGATTCTCCACAATTCTGCCATGCCCCATCTCCTCCTCATCTTGGTCCTTTCTGGTCTCCGTATTTCTTTTGTACAGAGAGGAGATTATCAGGTGGAAAATCATGATAAGATGTTTAAGCTCCATCCTTCTGACAACATTTCTGCCCCTCAGTGAGGCTGGCAGGTAAGAGATCACAGCCGGTTTGGGCCTGTAACATGAGAGTGAATCATGGGTTACTTAGTAAGAAGAAAGGAAGATTCCTGGCTGTCAGTCACACATGATGAGAGAGGCTGGCATTTAAAAAGAGAAACGAACTCTAATTTAGGACAATTCCAACCTAGAGGAGACAGAAAAAGTTTTTTCTCAGTGCTAGGATCAAACTCAGAACCTAGTCCAAGCTAGACAAGCACTCTAACAGTGAACCACACTGCCAGCCCCGCCCGACCCTCACCCCTTTGTTTCCCTCGAGACAGGGTCTCACTATCTGGCACAGGCTGACCTTGAATTCAAACTCGTGAGTCTCTGGACTCTGCCTCTAGTGTTGAACATTACAAGTATGTTCTACCACACCAGGCTTGGAAATATTTTAATAATAGCCTGACACTTATGCTGTGACTCAGGAGACATACCTAGCTGAACACATCTTTCCATCCAAAACAGACATGCGTGAGATGATGATTATATGTACAGGCAAGTGTTCAAGGCCCACTTTTACCACATGTTATATGGCCTTGGGTAGCCCGACGGCTAGTGTCCCTCTGCATAAAAGCGAGATAAATATGCTTGCTTTATAGACTGTGAAGAGAACAGAACAAAGCAGTGTGTGACAAAGGCCCAGGACAACGCCTGCACAAATGTGTACTAACCAAGGGGAAGCTATTAATACTCTGTATGCAAAAATGAAAACAGAGTGTGTTTCGTACGGAAATCTTCTGGCTTTATTCTTTGAGGGCTACACAGGTGGTAGTGTTTTCTTTGCCATTGTAAGTTGACTGAACTTAACTCTAGAAATGAAGTCGAAGAAGTAAGCCATCTGGAAATTGTCACCAATTCCCATTCCTTTCAGTTAGGTACCCGCAGGAAGCCTCTCAACTCTCGCTACGCACCATTGGAAAGCTTGTGACTTGAACCATCAGGCATGTTTCCTATGTTGGGCCAATCTTTCCATTTTCAGTCTCATCAAAACCTCAAGGCACCAGGAGCTCTGCCTTGGTAGCCCACCCACTGAGGGCTTGGTGGGTTAGCAGCGGAAGCTGGGAAGGAGGAAGAAGCCCTTTCCTCAGGGCTCTGGAGTCCAGACAGGGGCCACAATCTAATGAGTAAGGCTTATGCTGGATTTCAGCTCAGATAAGTTCTCTACATTATTTGTTCCATAGTCTCTTACAACCATAATATCCTAGCCGGGTGGTGGTGGCGCATGCCTTTAATCCCAGCACTCGAGAGGCAGAGGCAGGTGGATCTCTGTGAGTTCGAGGCCTGCCTGGGCTACAGAGTGAGTTCCAGGAAACGCGCTACACAAAGAAACCCTGTCTCAAAAAACAAAACAAAACAAAAAAGACAACCATAATATCCTTTCCTCTACAGCTTAGAAAAAAAAAAAAAAAGCTTCAGTTTTTCTGTGAAATCCATAGAGATATGCAGGAGGAAAGGCAGTAGAAAAGAATTACATTTGTTTAAAACTACAACAAGCAATGTTTTATACTTAAGAACATGGGCTTTGGGGGATGCCTCAGTGGTTAAGAGAACACAGTGTCTTGCAGAGGACCAGGCTTCAGTTCCCAGTACTCTCAAATGCCTGTGACTCCAGTTCCAGGAGATTCGACTCCCTCTGGTCTCCAAGAGTATCTGCGTGCACAAGGTGCACGTAAACTCATGCAGACACACACACACATATCTAAATAATTAATATTTTTTTAAAAGCATGAGCCTGATGCACAGGTATGTACCTGAGCCAGGGACATAGCATACACTGATTTCTCCTGGGTCAATTTCCTTGTTTTTAATACGGGGCCAAGAATGCCACTGGGCAGAGTCATTGAAAAAATAAAGTGACAATATATGGGCAAAGCATTTAGCGCAACGTCCAGCACATAGTAGACATTCAGCAAATGGTGACTAATACTTCTGTGCTTTCAGAAGGCTAGGAAACTGTTCAGTGAAAGAAGGAAAAATCATGTAAATATGTTAAAACCATGACAACTAATAATACCAAGTGATGTATGTAGAGAAGTTTATTGTGTTTTTTTCTAATTTGTATACATCTAAAATGCTTTGTAAATTTTTTAAGTTCAAAAGCAAGGGACCCGTAATTCTTTTCAACTCCACCACCCAAGACTTGATCTGTTTCCTCATGAAATATTTATCGAGGCTGGTGAGATGGCTCAGCAGGGTAAGGCACTGGCCACCAAGCCTGACCATCTGAGTTCGATTCCACACAGTGGAAGGAGAGAACTAACTCCCCAAAACTGTCCTCTGATCTTTACATGCACCCTGTGCCATGAACGCTCCTCAGCTACCCTATACACAAAATAAATAACTGTAATTTTAAAAAGAAAATACTGTGAAAAAAGAAATATTGCTGAAATCCTGTGGGCCAGGACTCTGTGTGTTATCAGTGCATGGGATGCTAGAGTCTCTACCCTCAGGGG